GCCCCCCGGCCTGCCTGCTGCAGCTGCTCCTGGCCCCGCCCTCCCAACCGCGGGGCTGGGCGCCTTTCCCCGCGTCGCGTCTCCGCCCAACCGGGGTTGTCACGGCCTCCCGGGCCGTCTGCCTGCCCATCTGGCACTGGGGGGGGGCGGGGGAGTGGTCCTCCGCCCTGGGTAAGTGCGGACCCTGCCGGGTCTGTCATAGGGGGCCCAGAACTGCACACAATATTCCAGATGTGGCCTCACCAGAGCTGAAAAAAGGGAAATAATCACTTCCCTGGATCTGTTGGCAATGCTCCTCCTAATGCACCCCATACTGTTGACTCATATCCAGCTTCTCATTCACTGTAATCCCCAGGTCCTTTTCTACACAACTGCTACTTAGCCATTCGGTCCCCAGCCTGTAACTATGCTTGGGATTCTTCCGTCCCAAGGGCAGGACTCTACACTTGTCCTTGTTGAAACTCATCAGATTTCTTTTGGTCCAATCCTCTAATCTGTCCAGGTCACTCTGGATCCTCTCCCTACCCTCCAGCATATCCACCTCTCCCCCTAACTTAGTGTCATCTGTGAACTTGCTGAGGGTGCAATCCATCCCCTCATCCAGGTCATTAATAAAGATGTTGAACAAAACCGATCCTAGAACCGATCCTTGGGGCACTCCGCCATCCAGAAACCGACCGCCATCCTGACATCGAGCCGTTGGTGGTTATAGCGGTACACTGACAGGCCATGCACTGAAAGAGCATTTGCTGTGTCAGAATTGAGTTCACATATTAGCTGTCAACAGGTTAAAGTGCAAAGATTATGTGAAAAGATGTGTGCATGTCTGTGCTGTGTAAAGTGACTCTGCATGGCCAACTGAAGGAGCTTGTTGTAAAAAACATAGAAAATAATGCATGTTTAGCCGATCAGTGTTCTTCTTTCAAAAAACAAAGGGGCAGTATACAATCATTCTTCCACAAAATTAAATGGGTTCTTACATATATCAAGGAAACCAAATACATACAGGGGAACCCAGTGAACTCTTGACATTTCCCTCAGAGTAGTTTTATTTACAAAGGTATATCCCATTTTAATTTCAGGGAATACTTCAATACCGGTAAATACTGAGGGTGTAGTACTAGTAAAATATCAAGATTTTAATGGCACTGTATATGGAATCTTGTTTCTTCTGTATGTAGACAGTAGATACACCTGCTGATACAGTATTTCCATTTCCTAATTACTATGCATGTGGATTAACCTATACATCATGGTTTCAAGACCCTTTATTTGAGTAGCTGTCAGCCTGCTCTTCCTGACCTGCTGCATCACATTGCTGGGTACTATTGACAGGTCTCAGGTCATGTGCAGATAGCATGCTCTCTGGGCAGTGTTTGCAAACTATTTTTTAAGTGTGTAAAGCACTTTGGGATTCTTTGGGGGGAAAGGTGCTACATAAATGCAGGTGAATATTATTATTTCCAAAATAAACATATAAGTTGTATATTTTAATGAAAAGTTCCTATCTGGGACAAGATGGTGACTTTACAGGTTGAACCCTCTCTAGTCTGGCACCCTCAGGACCTGACCGGTGCTGAACCAGAGAATTTGCCAAACCATGAGAGATCAATATTGTCTAGCAGCATTACCAGCACGTCCACTGCTTACTGGGCTCTTAGAAGACTTTTAGGGGTAAACTAGAGCTAAATAACAGCACAAAACACTGAGAGCCAGGACTGGTGGCTATAAACAAAGGTTATGGAACCGTGGGAAACTTGGCCACTCCCATGATAAGTGGACATCTGGCTCACTAAACTCATGCAGGACCACAGATGTTGCCAGACAGAGTGCTGGACTGGAGAGGTTCAATCTATACTTTAGAGTCAAGGAGGGAGAATAGGTCATATTTCAACCCCATGGCATCTTGCCAGCAGAAGGTATAGGGCAAGACAGAGTGGGCTCAGGATTGGCTTTGACTGATGGACGTCTGGATATAAGAACTGGGTTCCTAGTCCAATCCACCACACTCCTCCCATCATATTGTACCCCCTGCAGCAGAGGGCAAGAATTTACATGACCTCTAGCAAATAGGTATTCAAGTGGTTTGACAAAGTGTTCTCTTTCCAAGGTACTTAATCAGAAATTCAAAATTGCATATGGTGGCAGTGGGAACACTGACCATGTTCTCTCTCTCTGTAATTATATGATAAAAGATGTGTTATTGTAGCATGCCCTGTGTATCGTGACAAGAATAATAATGGGACGGTGTCACTTGCCATCTGTTACACTAGCAAGTTAACTAGGTAAGGTTACCTTAACTTATAAAAGATAATACAAAATATAAATAATAGGCTAGGAAATGTTAGGAAGTAGGGACCTGTTTTTTAAAAGGAGCGGCCCAAAGTCCATGTGCATTTTTCACTTATATGTACCACAGTTACTGTAACTATGCATGCAAAGCTGGTATCTGCAAACACAATAGCTAATTAGTTACCTTTTCACCGACTTGTGTGAACAACCAAGTTGCACATACATACATAGTATTTAAATGTGCAGACATACACACACTTGCCTTATGCGCTTTAAAAATCCAGCCCCAGAAATTGAGTAGGTGGTTTAATCTGCTATCTCTTCCAATGTGGCTTTGAACTGGAGAGTTCCCCCCCCCCAACTATAACCAAATTTTACCAACTTTCCCATGTCCATGGCACTCTGATACCTCTGTGTGTCAGTAACTAAGCATAAAAGGCCCAATCTTTTTACTTGTGCTCTTGCTGAATACTCTGTTACTACTCCATGTGTCATCATTATTCATATTACTGTAATGGCATGGACCAAGACCCGTGAATGTTTAACCAGTTAACCAGAAAGCCTCACACCTTTAACGGGTAAGGCTTATCGGTTAAGGTTAACTGGTGGGTGCTGGAGCAGCACCCCACCTGCTACAGACAGGGGGCTGCTTCAGCCCAGCTGATGCCAGCCCAGCCCCTGTCTG